GGTAACTATCTTTTTTCAACAGTTAAATCTTGTTTTGAAACAGCTTTTACTAATTCTTCCACTGTCTTAATTAAATCAGATTAAATGATTACTATTAATTCATATACTCATTTCAATTTAACATTTTCATCCAACATGCACTCTACTATAGCTATTAATTTCAGCCTTTGATCCAAATTTCTGTGTGCTATAAATATATAATTGTGTAAATCAGGGATGGGCAATGTACAGATTGTGTTGTGTGTAATCCAGCCTGTAACTGTTTTCAAAATTCATATAATAAATAGAATATCAAACTTGAATCTTGTTTTTATTACTCCCAAGTATATGAGTATGCGTAAATAGTACAATTAATAGCATAAAACTATGTTTTCCTATTATATGCCATTTCAATAATCCTATAAATCATTGAAAACAAAAAATTGGCCTACATATAGACTTTATTAACATTTTATTTGGCCACCATTTAAGAAAGTTGTCTACTCTTGGTCTAGACAAATGATGCCCAAACTTTTCGATTAGTGGTCCAAATTGTATCTAAGTCATAAGAAGCAGACCACAAAAATTTTATATATTCCATACATACTAAAATTAGGTCTATTTCTATCAATTACAATTGATATGTCAAATATGTTTGCAGTCCAGTTAGATTAATGTGTGCTGCTAACAGTAACTAATAATACAAGTCCTAGGAAGATGTCTTTTTCAAATACATATAATCTAGTGACATAAGTTCATGCTCCAACTTCCTCATTTTTGTTATTCTTTCTTGCATGAATATGCTAAATTCGGTTCATTTTTTTATTAACTTGTCTCTAATTTAACTTGTAAGATTGTTTATCAAAATAAGTTTCTCCAAATATCTAAGATTTTGTTGGCTTTTTCTTTATAAATTGCAATTCTTAGTGTTTTTGTTGTTGAAAATACTATTGTTCTTATGAGGTTTTTATGTTTTTAAAGGCTACTATTTTACACCACAGTAAATTATTTTGTATATAACAACTAATATAACAAAACTTCAATTCTGGACTTCAACTTTTACATCTATGAAATCCAATACTCCTTTATTGATCTATTGTAAAAATATAGTACCAGTGAGTTATTGTTTATGTCTGATGAACTATTCATAGCATACTTTTTCTTCTATAGTATTAAGCGTATCATCATGATACTCTTCTAGTATGACTTCTCTACATATTTCAAAAATCAATGGTTACTACAAATTCTAGAACGAAATCTGCCAGTTAACCTGACATTGATAAATCAGGTTAACTGGCAGAGCTCTTCCTATTTGAATTTAATAGTTTTTTTTATGAAAGCAGGATGAATTATTATATAGTATGAAAGTGGTTTAAGATTAACATGCATTTTTTATTTAATGTAAAATTATGAGAGATACAGCATCCAAACTATGTGACCTGTTTGAGATATTCCTCATCCTGGAAAGGATTCAGTTCCAATGCTGGAAAAAGTTTTCCCTTGTCATGGCCAACTCAGGACACTCCTTCACGGTTTCAATTGTCACAAATTTCCTTCCAAGGGTTCTTTAATGGCATAAATTGGAAACTTTCTGAACTTAGAAAAATGGCTGAGGACTTCTCAGCCCATAACTGTCAACATCACAAGCTACATGCAGATGTTTATTGTCATGTATAAATTGTTTTAATTTTATAAGAATTTGAAGCTTGTTTATAGCATTGTCTTCTTAGTAGAATTGGAATTCTAGGATATTTGTTATGATAATGAAATTTTCATTAGTATACTACAAATTTATCTTCAAAAATATTCAACTAAACTGGAAATATTATGAAATTTCTTTTGTTATACTATTAGATATTTTGAATAGATGATGGTAATGTGATCTATATAAAGCTATCTAAAAGCTATACACTTGAAAATATTAAGAATTGAAAGCAGAAATAAAGATATAATATCAAAAATAAAATCACAATATGTCTATCTAGTCATAATGTGTGATTATGTCACTAGCATTACATATATAAAAATATAATTTTCTTCAAATCCAAACAATTCTTCTTGTCATTTTTTTAAACTGTTTTATTACTTTTCACTAATATGCTTTGGTTTATATTCTACAAATTAAAAAAATCCATTATGAAATTTAAGTTCAGATTTAAAATACTTAAGTAACATTTCATTTCTTAATATATACACAAAATCAATTTTGCATTTTATTTTATCAAAGCATAACTTTAATTACAATTTTTTTCAATGCTTCACATTAATCATGAGCCATCAAGGTTAAAGTTACAATAGCAGATTATTATTTTTGTTATCTTTGACAACTGTAGTAATAAAATGGAAACTTAAGAATAGAAAACAATCTGCCTATATTCATTACATGTTATTCAAGCATTAAAAACAACATTTTTAAGTTGAAGTGTTCTGTTTATTTAAAAAAACAGTTTCATATTGTAATACACACTTCCAGCAATGCCTAGCGGTGCTGGACATGCATCTTTATGCATTAATAAAATAATTGATTGATTGTAATACACACTGTTTGATATTAAGTTTACATTTAAAACAAGAAATAATCACATTAAGATTAATTTAAAGAATTTACACACATTATATTCTTAAAAATTACACGTTAAAAGGAGTTTACTACAACTTAATAGATGCTTTCCACATTAACATCATAAAACAAACAGAATAAACATATTTAACCAATATCTAGTTTATAATTTACTATATTATTATAAAAGTGCTAAAAACATGTAAAATACAACAATAAGATTTTGCATTATAGTTTTACTTTTATACAAAGATATATTAAAAATGTTAATGAGTAAAAGTTAGTACTGTACTATGTATTATAGAATAAAAGATTTTTTACAAAAAAATTTTACAATTTTAAGGTCTTAGTGCAAAAGATCCTATAATTATGCTGCTGTTTTTTGATGTTTATAAAAACAAGATTGATTTGAAATGTTAAATCTGCAAAAAGGTTTTTGTAGACAAGATAAGTTGTATGTAACAATCTAGTAACTGTTAGAAAGATATAGTGTGGTTGAAAGAAGCCATTAAATTTATTTATAAGTATGGATTTGATGAAAATACATGATTCATTTATAAAAATCTGGTAATCAAAGTCAAGTTCAATCTATGGGAGAATTCAATTGCAGGCAATCTAACAATCTGTTTAATAAAAATTAAATTTTAGATAGAGTTCCAACACCAATTGGGAGACAGGAATAACTCAAAATAGCAATAAACACATCTAACAAACAGCCTTAATTGAGTTACTCTAAAAGTTTTTTGTTTTGCTTTAAATCTCACTGGAATCAATTAAGGCTCTTTGGTAGATGTTTATTGCTGTAAATCTTAGATAATTCTTTATGACGTTTGATAGAAGAAAAGAAGCAGCCGACAACCATTGTAGGATTTAAAAAGTAATTTAGATATATAAAAGAATTCAATAATTTTTATACTTAAATTTTCTAATACATCAAAGCTGATTTTTTTTTATACAAATGATTCTATTATTGCAGTCTAATAATTTTAAAACACACACACACACAAATTAAGAAAGCTAATAACTTGACATCTTAGAAAAATATAAATTGTATTACTCAATTTTTTTTAATTCCAACTTAAACTAGTAAAGCCACTATCTTAACAAACCATCACCAACCAATAGTTAAATGTAACATTTTCTATTTGATTTAATAAACAAAAAAATTATCAAATAAAATTAAAATATTTTTAGTAATAGTAGTGATTTTTTAAACGCAATCATTATTTAAGTTAGAAAACAATAATGTTTCTAACAATCAAAAGTTTTGAATAAAAAAAAAATAAGCAATACTTTGAATTTATTTACTCAACATTGATTTTGCAAATGTTACGTATAATTGTTATAACTTAGGCCCTGTACACACTAGGCGTTTTTCAACGCGCGTTAAACGCGCGCTTTTAAACGAACGTTTAACGCGCGTTTAAGACCCTGTACACACTAGGCGTTTTTCAACGCGCGTTTAACGCCGAGCTAACGCGCATAAGCTCGGCGTTCGACGAGCGTTAGTTCGGCGTTTAGCACTGGCTCAGTTTGGAAATGGACGAGAAAGTAATTGATTGTGTGTGCTCCTCCATCGTCGCTATAAGGCAGCACATATATCTCAAAGCGCCCGTAAAGTGCCCGCAAAACGCGCATTTTAACAAAAATCTATAAACGCGCGCTTGGCGTTTGAGTGTGTACGGCTACATAGAACTCTTGGTTCTTTAAAATGTGCGTTTAAAAGCGCGCGTTTAACACGCGTTGAAAAACGCCTAGTGTGTACAGGGCCTTATCCAACAGAATATTTGAAAAAAATTCTGTAATTTTTAAAAATATCTCCACATTATAATGAATTCATAGATTTTTTTTATCTTTAATTAAGGTATAGAAGACGCATAAAACACCGCACGTAAGCATATACTAACAAATCGTTGCAAGATAAATAAAGCTCAATAAACATTTAAATTAAATATAAATTAAATAGCGTAATGAATACGGCTATTCATTAGGCTATTTAATTTATACTTAATTTTATGTCATGGGCTAGAAGCATTATTTAATAAAACATTTAAATTTAAAGTAAGAAATTGCTTATAATCTTATATTCACAAAAAAAAATTCTATATTTAAATAAAATCAAGCATCACTTTCATAATAGGAAGAGGCAAAATTACTTGCAACACAAACACATAAACCTATCAACAACAGAAAAAATAAATAAATTTAAGTAACCTTTCACACAGGTTACATAAGAAGGGATTAAATTGCAGAATAATTTTTGAATAGACTCCATTAACACTTGCAGAATTTTTTAATTCGTTTATATAAACGATAATTCTCCTAATTAAAAACGTATATAACCTATATATTTTACTAAAACTTAACCTTGAAGAGATTTAACTCCGGTCTAATCAATATTAAGTGACTAATCGTACGCTGTCACTGGCAACGAAAGACGTTTATCAATCTGTCAACTTACTTTGCTCTTTTTCCATGTGATATCCGCTTCGGAAGAGTATATACTATAAAAACTATAGGCGAGGAAGCCCTGGAGTACGAGAATGACGATGGCAATGATGAAGAAAGGGCGATATCTTCTAAGCCAGCGAACGTCGGTCGCCATAACTCCATTCCATCCACTCTCACCTCAAATGACAATTGAGCATTTCCATAAACGTTAAGCTATCTATCATGATTTTACTAACGACAACTTCCGTCATTACGGAAGTATACAAAAAACGATCGCACGACTGTAATCTCGTTTGAAATTCCGGTTGAATAACTTCCACTCTATGGCTTCTCCGGTATCCGATTCTAACGTTTGTGCTAATCGTCTGGTTACGGCTTCGGGTTGCCAACTAACTTATGTCGTGATTTTTGTCCAATATTGAGAATGTAGAAAATATTTGTTCGTATTATTCATTAAAATAACTATTGTGTAATTATATAACTAAAATATTATTTCTGGATTTTTATTTTTCTTAAATTTATTATTGCGAAAAATATTTACTTGATACGTTAAAGTGGACGGCCGGATGGCTGAGTGGTTAAGGTGGTAGCTTACCGCTCTTTTTTTTTCTTTTTTTTTTAACTCTTTCCGCCCTATGGGCACTAAGAGGGCCTCTTTTTGCAAGCCCATTATAGGTTCGGCCAGGCCCACAATGGGGCTGCCGGGTGGTGAGGGACGGGGGTCCGACATATCCGAACGGACCAACCCCCGAAAAATTCCTGGGGATTTTTCGACCCGTTCGGATTCGAACCCGAGTCCCCCAGAGCTGCCACCTTGGCCGCTCGACCATCCGGCCGCAGCTCTGGGGACCTGGGATTGAATCCGTACTAGGCGAAAAACTCCGGAAATTTATAGGGGATGGTTTGGATATGTCGAGCCCCGTCCTTCACCAACCGGCCGCCTCATTATGGGCCTGGTAGCATCTATAATGAGTTTGCTAAAAAATAAATAAATAAATAAAAGCCCTCTTAGTGCCCACGGGGCAAAAAGAGTTAAACACTTGAAGAAAAGTTACAAAAATTCATGTAAGCCATCCCGTTAGTTAGGTGCGAATTCGAGATCAACTACACTTTACTACAGTATTCAATGGTTTGTAAAATGATGAAAACTGGCACAACTCGTTTCACTAATTCTAGCCGATCTGTAAAAATGAGCATTAGCAGAGACCTATTGCTCTTAGTAAAAGAAATAGATTGTTTGGTGAATTCTGTGATAATGTCACTGTGCGCTACCAAACGGGACTCTTGAACTTAAAAATACTTTCAGAGCCCCAATGGAATACCGCTCATTCCCTGGCCAAGATATATGAAAACGATCTGTAGTTGGTCGTGGGTTTGCGACTTGCCAACGGGCTAACCGCAATTAGGGTTTCCTTCACGTGTTTAACACTTAAATAGGGGCCATTTTTTAATTGAAAGTCCTCCTGAGAGGCATCCCTTTTGGCAGATCGCATTATGTTAACTTACGCCATCAATCTAATCTAATTCAGGTAAATTTTATTATTCATATAACAAAAAATAATCATCTATTTTTTCTATTTTATTTAAATTTTTATAAATTAATAACGATATATAATTGTAGAAATAAAATAAATTATCATTTAAAATATTATATAATTTTAAAAAGAAAACTACGTAATCAAAAAATTTGAATTTAAAGAACAAAATATTACAAGGTTCTAAACAAATTTATCAGAATTTATCTTTAGAACGAAATATAAATTACGGATGAAATTAATTCGTATTTAAAGGTATTAATGTTTATATTTTTTATAACTTTATATCCTATTTTTAAATGCTGTATTCCTGTTAATTTCTATTTTAAAATAATTCTAAACATTGCTCTTATAATTCCAAAAGAATTATAATATATAAACATAAAAAAGGAAATATCTGGTAATTGAAAAAAATTATCAAAATTTTATATTTAATTAATATTAGGCCTGGGCTTATTTGACGGCCTGATGGCCGATTGATTAAGATCTCAGCCTACCCGTGACAATTTTACGTATTTTAAATCGAATTTTTGATGAAAATTCTGTAAAGATTTGTCAGATTGATGAAGATTTTGAATAAATTCGAGACTTTTAATGAAATTCAGTTTAATGAACAATATTTATATAACAATCAAAAGCAGACAAACAGTTAACAAATTTTCGTAATCACCTTATGCTTGCTGAGAAATATTTATTTATATCATTACAAACGTTTTCAACCTAAATTCTATAAGACATTATCGGGTAAAATCAGAGGCGGATCTACATAGTAACTAAGCCATGGGCCTCCAAGTGTCAAGGGCCTACAAAAATTGAATTATTATCATATATTTTTAATACTTTTTCATTAACAATGAGCACTTATCGTCATTCAACAGCATTTCATAAATAAATATATTGCAACTCTGACTTATTAGACTTCAATAAGCCCTAGGCCCCGAAAAACTTAAATTCACTCCAGAAAATTGTTCGGATATAATACCGCATCCGAACAATTTTTGAAATGGAACATTTCAAAACTTAGAATGCAACGTTCGAAAACGTATAGAGGAGAAGGTGGTATTATGGAACACTGCGGGTATTATGGAACCACCCCATTTCGAACTGATAATAAAGGCGAACTGCAGCGGAATGTGGCTGAACTGAACTAGGCAGACATCCATAGCAAGGGGAAAACCCGTTTTACTTCAGTTAAACAGTTGTTCGCATTTAATCAGCAAATTTGTTTTTTTCAAAATTCGCAAGTTTTGAATGCTAAGTGAATTTAATTATTTTTAAAATATAAATCGTGTAGTTGTAGGTTCACTGGTGCATGTATTCCGTTCCAGAGACTTAGGGGTACATATTAATCTGTGTGATGTTCACGTTTTTTAAATTTTGGTCTCGACAGACATAAGTTAATTCGAGATGGCGATGCGTGAAATACGGACCCCATTGGTGCTTTTACAGTAATATGGAACTCAACTCCTCCGAACTTTCTATTTGCAAGCAGACATTCCTCCAGAGCAATTTGTGAAAAAGACACTAGGTAGAAAGCCAATTCTTCCCGAGAATATCGAAAAAGAGCTGCTGGAATATATATTGTTGATGGAGGTCATATTTTTCTATTATAAAAGCATTTTTGCGATAAAATACATTGGAGTAAATAATTTTGTAATTATTTAACATTTTTTGTCCTTTCCTATTTGTTTTTGGCTACATTAAAGCATTTTTTTGAAAATATACAGTAAGGTTCCATATTACCACCCGATTTTCTCTAAGCCTACTTTCGGACTTTTTGTACAAAAGCCTTCAAAAACCATACTTATAATTACACTAGCGAAAAATCCAATTAGGAACATTTAGTTTACTAGTTACCAGTACTTTTCGCACAAAAAATGTGGGTGTAGTTATGATACCTTGTTTACAATTCACTAAAATGTAATTGGGGTTCCATAATACCACCTTCTCCTCTAATTTTAAACATGAATTTAAAATGAAGAATACAAAAACGTAAAATGAAATAAATTAAAGATAAATAAGTAACAAAAATAAATAAATAAAAATACTGACAGCAATTAACAAAAATAATAAATAAGTAAGATACAGTATGTAGGCATATTATTTAACTATTTCTGCCCTGTGGGTACTAAAAAGGCCTCTTTTAGCAAGTCTATTATGGGTTCGGCTAGGCCAACAATGAGGCCCGACGTATCTGGATGGACCACCCCCGAAAAATTCCTGGGATTAATCGACTCATCCAGATTTGAACCCGAATCCCCCACAGCCTGCCGCCTCGACCTCTCGGCGATCCGGCCGTCAATATAGAAGAGTGGATGAGAACTAAGAGTTTCTATATTGTAAATTTTTTTTAATGTTGAATTTCCATGCTGAAGATGTGACAAACTAAAATAAACTAAGATAAGAAAAAAACAGGCGTATTGAAAATACCATTTGAGAACCAGCAATTGGGAATAAAAAAAGACTATATTGTTATCACAAAATGGAAACTAGCCGTTTTGACTCAATGAACAAAAATACGGCATTGAAAAAAGGCTTTGCAACACACCATATTGTCCAAAATGGCACAACTAGAAGACTCTACAGTTAAATGGAATGAGGCTGATACCATTAATGTTCTACATTTTCCCACATTGGCAATGAGCAAAGAAAAAATTGAAATTTATAAAAATAAATTAATTGATGGTTGCATTAATGCCAGTGATACAAAAGGGTTATTTTTAAAACTGCAATATAGGAACTCATATTTTGCATTCACTCTTCTATATACAATACATACTGTATCTTTATTATTTTATTATTTTTATGTTAATTTCTGTCAGCATTATTATTTTTCTATTTTTTGTTACTTATTTATTTTATTTTACGTTTCTGTATTCTTTATTTTAAATTCATGCGTTTAAATTATGTGTTTGAACGTTCCACTGTGAAATGTTTCATTTAATTAAAAAGTTGTTCGATACGATGTTACACATGATGATGGCCTACAAATTTTAGGTTGAAAACGTGTGTAACGCTATAAATAAATATTTTTCAGCAAGCATAAGGTAATTACGAAAATTTGTTAAAAATTATATATTTTTATCTTCTCTAAATGGCCGTAGAAACTTTGTCGCATAATAAATTAGCACAGAGTTTCAAAAGTTCAATCAAAACTTTAATTTATTCGCACTTAGAGTTCTATACAACGAAATTTTTCAGGATTTGTCCGATTTGGAACACTTCATCGCGATCGAAAAATTTACCCGAAATATTCGATTTGTTTTAAGAAAACAGTCAAATAAGAATTAGGCAGTGTACACATTAGGCGTTTATAAACGTGCGTTTTAAAGAACCAAGAGTTCTGCAAAGGTATACATACTCAAACGCGCGTTGATAGATTTTTCTTAGAACCCGCGCTTCGCGAGCGTCAGCCGCGCGTTTTGAGATACATGTGCTGCCATGTTATTGTACATTCGATCGCGCGTTTTCGGGTAGAGTGGACGCATGTTGGCCGAAATGGAGAACGTTCTTTTTGATACTGATCTATTTATTGATGAAATCTAAGAGACTAGCCATCGTCAAATTATTTTATAGATATTCTAAAAGAATTAAAAAACTTGGGTTCACATTGTCTTAGTTTTGGATACAACGTCACAAGCATTCCATACTTCAACCTATCTCGTAATATTGGGTGCACCCAAAATTCTCTTTGCCTCTGCCATCGTCTTTTATAGCGACGATGGAGGAGGCACACACAAGCAATTACTTTCACGTCCATTTCCAAACTGAGCCAGTGAAAACGGTCGTCGAACGTCGAGCTAACGCGCGGTGTGTCGCTGCTAACGCGCGTTTAACGCAACACAAAATGTCTAATGTGTACACAGCCTTACTCCCAAAATAACCGTTAATTATTGAAAAAACTTCCAATTCGCAACGACCATTTTTGTACGCATTGCCTTCTCGTTGATATTTCGTTTAGGTTTATTTATCTAAAAAAATATTTTTTTTTTTATTTTTTGTATATTTTATAGAAATTCTGGCAAATCGAATTTTTCTTTTTTTACAAATGTTTTTACAGGTTTTATTTCTCCCTTTCTAACTTGGCATCCTCATAATTCGTGCGCCTGGAGCAGTTTGCTCCAACTGCCCTGCTTTAGCAACGCCCGTGTTGTCGACTGCAAGGCGCACTTTTTTCCCACTTTTCGAGACTGATAACTGCTATATTTTTAGACCGACTCAAATTAATAGTATTTGTATTCCTAATGATGAGCTGAGAGTATAAAAATGCTTGGAATTAAGAAAGCAGAAAAGTGTAGAGATTTATTTATGTTTTTGTGATGGTTTAATTGAATGTATTAATTAAGTTATTCAGATTTGACTTTGACATCTTTAAATAAAAAATTTTAATATAAAATTTCAGTATTTTTATAAAGTACAATAGCTGTAATGATAAGCAACCAATTGTTTTTCTGTGGACATTTACTCAACATGACAAACTGACTGCTTCACTTAATATTGAGCATAATTTAGTAGATTGAATTAGAGAAGAGTTTAAGTTTTAATCTTTTGTAATTTTTTAATAATTATTCAATTATAATTTTTATCATAAAAAGATTTATAAATATAACATAATTTTTCATATAAACAAATTTTTTAATTCTATTTTTGGACATACTATAGATTACCACATATGGAATTTCGGGACTTTGAGTATATATCTGCACTGAGGGGACCGAAACGAGTTCAACGATACCCTACTTTTGGACCGGAGACGAAAAATAAGAAAGTTATCGTACTTTTTTCCGGATATCGCGCGATGATCGGGAGTCGCGTCGCTCTCTCCGCTAAGCCTATCGCGTATTTAACAGGTAGTCCGGCAAGTCGGCCGTATATACCTTCAACAGAGGCAGATGTTGATCCACGAGCACACTGATCGTCTGCAGTTGGAGTTAAGTCCTTTTCGCACGCCCCCGCGCTTCTCGACCTCGGGGCCTACGGCCCCTCAGCCGCCGACACGCTCGCTATCGCTCGCGGTCGGCTAGTTCTACGCGCCGCTTTCGCGTCTTGTCCAACAAACCTAACCTATCCCTCCGGGAGATTACCGTCACCGCTAGGTGGCGGTAAAATCTGAAATGGCGTGGAATGCACTGTGAAAGGCAAGAAATGACAGCTTAGAATGACTGCTTTTTGTGGAGAGATTCTGACTTGCTTAAAGAAAGTACCAGCAGTGATTTGTTGTTGCTGTTCGTGCTTCTGGCATCGCAGCCGTCCCCATCCTTTGCCTTTATGTTTCTCTTCGGTGAACACTTTTAATTTCATTCACTCTCCGCATCTATTACACTTTTTTTGCTTTACGAAGGAGACTTTGATCTTGTAAACCACTCGATACATGTTTCCTTATCTTTGACTACTTCTATTGTTAGCTTAAGTAAGTTCATTTTGAAAAAATTGCTGCGTAAAAAATAGAAAATTAAGCAGACGATACCGTAATTGGAAGCAACGTCACCTAGCGGTGAAAATGTGCAAACCAAACTAATTAAATAAATAACTTAGGTTAAGTTATTCAATTAAGTTAACTAACTTAAATAACATAACTTAGTTAAATAAATAAAATTAAATTAAAATAAATAACTAACCTAAATAGAAAAAAAAAAGAAAATTAAGCAGACGACACCGTAGTTGGTAGTACCGCCATCTTGCGATAAAGTCTGCAAACCATTAAAAAAAGCACTGTGAAAGGTAATCAATTGTAAATATGATAACTTTCTTATTTTTCGTCTCCGTTTCAAAAGTAGGGTACCGTTGAACTCATCTCGGTCCCCTGAGTTCAAATATATACTCAAAGTCCCGAAATTCCATAGGTGGTAATCTATAGTACAGCCTTATTTTTACAGATTGACTAATAAACTTCATAATGAAATTAATTGCAAAAGGGTTTTCCATAAAACTCAACCATCTGTATATTTTACTATGGAAAAACTTTATTCAACAATACAGACACCCTTTTGTGACTTTATTGGAGCTTATTATACCATTACTTTTCTCAGCACTCGTCTTATGGATGCGTGGAGAAATTAAGTCATTGTATATTCATGAACCAACTGTATATGAAAGTTTTTCTGTAGATTCTCTTCCAGCTAATCTAACTCCATCAACAGATACATCAGGCGTGGTATATTTTACCCCGACTAGTTCTCATGTTGTTGAAATAATGAAAAATGTCAAAAATAAATTAAAAGGATTACGTATTAAAGGTAAAGCAATAAAATTTCAAACATTTCTTTTATAAGAAGAATTGGGCTGCAATTTTGAAAAATTGTAGACCTATAAATTCCCACTGTCATTGTTTATCTGTCCTTCCTTAGAACAGTGTTAGAGTGATGAAAGTTGAGACGAGATATGGAAGGCTTGGTGGCAGGAGGCCCCAACTAATATTCTTTTATATGTATATATTTTTGAATTGAAATCATGTGACTTCCAATTTACACCAGAAGTCTATGATGACTATTCAAAACTTTCCCCAAAACCAAGTTACATAGGTGAATGGCATGACTCTGTTGTTATTAGGAAAAGTATTATATACCATACAGGGGCAAGACACTACTAATTTGAGATTGAGAGCATATATTTTAAATTAAATAAATTAAACATATGATTAAAAATTGCAGCCTGTCATTGTGAATAACTTTTTGCTTATTTGATTATAATTTTAATTTCTTTATATATTATTTTTCCAAAATAAATGCATTAATGCCAGTGATACAAAAGGGTTATTTTTAAAACTGCAATATAGGAACTCATATTTTGCATTCACTCTTCTATATACAATACATACTGTNTATTTTAAATTAAATAAATTAAACATATGATTAAAATTGTAGCCCGGTATTGTGACGATGTCACAATAAATAATTGCTCGTTTCTTTTATTATTAATTTGAGGTGGAGAGCATATATTTTAAATTAAATAAATTAAACATATGATTAAAAATTGCCATCCGGCATTGTGACAATGTTACAATAAATAATTGCTCGTTTTTTTTTTTATTATTATATTTAATTTTTAAAAAGTTAAAAATTTTTTATAATGGTGGAGATACAGATCTTTATTAATAAAACAAATAATTCTCGATTTATAAACTAGCTTAATAATTATCCTTTGAAAATCTTTCTGAACTAAAGATAAAAATTGTATTCATCTAAAATAGTTTTATATTTTATTTAAAGGATTTAAGACAGAAAATATTTTAGAAAAAGTCTATTTATCTGATCATTCAGCAGCACCTCTTGTATTTGGAAGTGTTGTCTTTCCTAATGAAGTGAACAATACTTTCTTTGGATGCAATGTACAAGTAAAGGTATTATATAAAATTTAATTACTATAAATTAAATAACATTTATATAACTTATATTTGAAATAAAGTCCATTTTCCTATATTTTCTAATTTAATACAATAACATTATTCAATTGAAATTTGATGCATTGTATAAAATAATATGAAATAAGATTTAATAACTGAATGTTGATCAATAGTAATATTTTTACTATTGATCAACATCCATACAGTAATAAATGTACAATCTTGGAGCAGATCACACACTAAAGTAAATAGCCTATTTTTTTTTTCCTAATTATTTTTGTATGTACATCTATAATGTATACATTTTTGTCTCATTTATCATTGAATTTCAGTTGCCTCATGATAAATAAATTATGTTGAATAACTGAAATACAGTATATGATAATAGTGTGAAACCACCGGAAGGGGGGGTAGGTCTCCCGATCCGGCAACAGGTTGTTAAACCCTTTCACTGTCAGGATGGGTGGTTTAAGGGTTCTTTTTCCCGTTGTAACGGGTCGAGTGGTGGAGGGAGGAGCGCGTCGGTGAGATGACAGGCGATATACGAGTAAACGAGGAGGCCAGATATAACATAAGGAAAATTTACAATTTATTAAACCAAGTAATACAACGTATAGTTTGCGTCCCTAAAACGCGGGGAGACCGAGAGAGAGCTTACAATATTTGTTTCCATACCTCTTGATCTGTTATCCACGCTACTCTTTGAATTAGGAAAATTTCTCTTCTAGGAAAGTTCACTGATGTAGGAAAGGTCACTGTTTAACTATTTGAATCCTGGATTTAGGGAAGTTCACTAGACAAAAAGGACACTATTTGAAATTGGTCTTCTTCCGGCACCTGCTCTGGTACGACTCCCCCGAGAAGGGGAAGGAAGGGGTTTTTATAAGTTCGGCGTGGGAGAATGGTCACGTGATTGATTGTTGTGAGGTAAAAGGTATGTAGATGGGTCAGAGTTGTTCCCGGGACCATGCCAACTATCAACTTTGGCGTTGGAATGTGGGAGTAGTTTCGAATTGAACGGATGTTTATGTCGAATGTAAACGAAAAGTTTTTTTCCCGTTAGGTTCCACTATAAGTTAAAGGAAAATTTAATTAGATTTTAAGCAAATACGGGACAATTAATCGACAAATAGTCGGCAAAAAATTTCCGGATTTCACAATAGAACAAAAATATTATTATGTAGAAGAAAGATATTACATTCAAATTTTAAAGTTTTTAAAAGTCCTTGAAATAGAATGATTAAAAAGTCTATTTTAAAATTTAGCTTATTACATTATTCAGTTATTTCTAAGTGCCTGTTATAATTTAATTTAATTTTAATTCATTATATGCCAATTTGGAATCAAATAAAACAAATTTTTTTCAAATTTCAGCTCAATTATATTAGCAGACAATCTGCAGTACTCATGGAATAAGGTATTAAACAGAAAAAGTTAATTTAGAACTAAAAATTGGAATTTAATTTCTGCCAAAAGTTACTTATAGACTGAACTATATGAAATATTTTTACTCTCTCAAAATCAACTACAAAAATAAATTACAAAATTCTTTGTATACTCTATTAAGGTGGCAAATCCAATAGAACCCATTTTCTACTGGCTAATGATTCAGTGAACCTCACACTAAATTGTTGCAAAATTTCAATGTCTCAAAATGTTTCTTATCAACTCCGTATAAAAACATATTGCACATTTGCAAAAATATTTATCTCTATTCATTAAAGTAATAGTAATTAAGGAATATTTTGCCATTATCTAGTTTAAATTAAGATGTTATGCAAGATTATCTTTGCAAACAGCCATTGTGTTATTAGAACTAATAAGTGAGATCTTAAAAAATATTTATCTTAGAGAGAAGTATCAAATTTATTGCAGTGCTCTGTAGAATTGGTCAAAATCTTTGTAAGAATGACTTAAACTGATTTTGGAAGATATTAACTATTTAACAATTCAGTGCAGAAATCTTATATAATCATTTTTACTCTTAAAATGTACAGTATTTATTTATTTTTAATATTTGTAGTTTTTAAACATTATACCCATTTCTTACATAGAAAGTAATCATTTGAACCAATAACACAAAAAGTTTTTGAATACTTTACAATGATAACTCTTTTTATTTATTCTAACATTTTTCTTTCTCAAATTTCAAATTTATTCTGCTGTTTAAAGCTATGATCTTTGTGACTGGTGAGTTTTCATTTACTCTTGAATTATGTATTTTATCTAGTTGAAGCTAACAGAAATTCATGAATTATGCATCAAAAATATTTATTAAACAATGGATATAAATATACAAGGGAATGAAATAATGAAACAACTTATTGAATACAATTATGGCAGAGATGAACAAAAGATTGTATGCTGTTTGTAAAAATCAATAGAAGTGAACTTTTCACAGCTATGATGAAATTGCCATCATCATTGTCAGAAAATGTTTCTTCTTGCATAATCCATTTCTCATTGGCCCCAACAGACGTAAGTGAGAAGGTGCCAAATCCAAACTATATAGTGAATGTAGTAGAATAGTCCAGCCAAATTTCAACATTCTGTATGATCTTCAAACTAGTACAGGGCCTGGTATTACCACGTTGCAAGCAAAAGATTATTTTCTTCTCTGGCCTGTCTCTAGAAATTCAGGCCTTTAGCTTAGTCAGCCTCACATTGTAGCAGTCAGAATTGATCAATTGTTCAGATTCCAGGAAACATAGAAAGAAAAAGCCTTTCCTATTTCAAAAGATTGTATATTTCTTTACCTACTGATAGCTGTATCTTGAACTTTTTTCTTAGCTGAGAAATTTGCATGTCAACACTCCATGGACTATTATTTACTCTCAGGCTATAGTGGTGACACAACATCTCATCACCTGTGATGTTGCAATCAAGGAAATCTCTCCTTGAGCTTTATATTGGTTCAGCAGATTCTGATACATTTGTATTCAATAGTCTCTCTGTTACTGTGTAAACATCTGTGGTACTCATCTGGCACAAACTTTGCAATATCCCCCCTTCTTCTTCTTCATGGTGCCATATCAGAGTTCTGACATCGGCGACACCCGGCGCAGATTAGTAATTAATAATACGCCAAGGTGTTACTCCCCCCAATATCCCCCAATGTTGCCAATATCAACTTGGCAATGCTTGGAGGTGAACATTCAGCTCTACCTATCTTTTTCCTGATTGTAATTTGACAATTCTCACAGACAAGCTGATTGAGATGCTCATTATTTTGTGACAATGCCGAAGTGCCCCTATGCTTCACGGGACCGAAGGGTTGACACCACATTTGTGATGACTAGTTTGTCAGGACTGACACCATTGTGTCTTTAAGGACAGGCACAAAAACCTGGATGGTCATTTCTTTCAGTTTTCCATGCGAGCGGTCGTGTTTGTAGTTGCTTCAGACTTGGGATGGAGACACTACTACAAATTTAACAATAAACAATACCTGTTTATTTATTGATGTTATTTGCAAAGCTGTATACAGAAGTCAGTTTAGATGCTTAGCGGATGCTAGTTATACAACATATAGAGGAAGGGTGTAGCTGATTAATAAGTAACAGATTCTGGGCTAGGCAGGGTATGGAAAGACATTTAAGTACTATAGAGGACTTAGTAGATGAGTTAACTGCTTTGGGAGAACAAATGAGTGACAGACTCATGGGAATTCTTATGTTGGGAAGTTTGCCTGATAATTATAATACATTAATGACTGCTCTTGAGGCAAGAGCAGATACAAACTTCACTCTTTATTAAGATCATGGAAGTGTATGAGAAGCAATCAAGAAAATTGTTTGGACATACCATGAATATGGATGAAGCCACAGCTTTGAAAACAATGGTCCGTAAACAGAAAACTGGATGTTACTATTGTGGGATTCCCATTTGAAAAGGGACTGTCTTGGATTGGGCAGAGGAAAGAAAAAGAAAGAGCACAAATTAAAATTAACTGAAGTCCAGGAAGAGTCTGATCTATTGGACAATGATGAAACATACAAATGCCACTCTGCATGCGTGAGCACACAAAATATGCCATTAGGTATGTTGATTCAGCAGCAACAGCTGACATGACAAACAACAGGAACTTCTTTAGAAAATTGAACAACAACAACAGTGAAATTGCTCATGTGGCTGATGGAAGAGAAGTGCCCGCAAGTGGAATTGGACATGGTAAACTAGTTTGTGATGAAGGTAGTTCAAATGGCAAGTTAAAGTTAGATAATGTGTTGAATGTGTACCACAACTAAATGGGAATTTATTGTCGGTCTTAAAAATGATGCAAAGAGGTTATGATGTGTGTTTCGACAACAAAACAATGCAATGCTACATAAAACGAGATGGCAAGACACATGCAAAGTCTGAGCTTCATTTATGTTGAGCCAACACAATGCCTTACAAGTGTTATCCATGCCCAAGAAGCAGTGTATGCATCTGTGACACTTGAGATGTGGCCACTGTGATCCATCTGTAATGCATTATATGGCTGCCGAAAGTGTTGAGGGTGTAACAATTAATGAGTGTGGATGCACTGTGGGATGCAAAAGTTGCTTGAAAAATAAAATGCAGTGGAAACCATTTCCAAAAGAATCTATGAATAGAAGTAGTACAAAGCTTGAGCTATTGCACAGTGACTTGTATGGTCCCATGCAAGTGAGAACCCCTGTGGAAATAGATATTACATAATGATTATAGATGATTATAGTTGTTATACAAAGTTTATCTGTTGAAGCACAAGTCTAAGGCTAATGTAAAAATAAAGGAATATGTAAATTAAACTATGTTGAAACACAAATGGGACGCAAGATGAAAAAGTTCTGATCTGATAGAGGGACTGAGTACATGAATAAAGACCTGTGTAAATTTTTCAAGGAACAAGGTATTAAAGTTCAGACCACAGCTCCAGATTGCCCTCAACAGAATGGCAAGGCAGAACAGAAAAATCAGTTTCTTTGTGAGATGGTAAGAACAATGCTGCACAATGCAGGATTAGGAAAATGCTACTGGGTGAGGCATTAATGGGCAAATCATAT